ACATGGCAGAAGCTTCTGGCAGCTTCTTTCAGAGAAGCCACCCCTGTGCCCCCTCTGCTACCAAAACCTGGCCACACAAACCCAATACAAACTTCCTGAATGCCTTCCTAGGAAGCGAGGCTGGTGTGTGCCCCAGATAGGCCAATGGGCATAGTTGTTGCCTGAGATTTTTTTTACAGCTTTCCTGTGAGCAATCAAAGTATTTTCAAACTTATGTGAGTGAATAAAGTTGGTTTTCTCCCAAAACACATAATTAATGAATCAGTTGTAATGTGTAAAGTTGAAATATTTATAAAAGCAGAAGTTGTCTGACATAAGAGAAACTCAGTAGGATTGTATTTAAAAAATAACGTGGTTCTAAATGGAATTTTGAGCTCTCTGTAGAAGAATAGGTTTTGTTTTGCTGTTTTCATTTTCAGTGGTGTGCTTATGCTCATTTGATGATCTTTTATTGCAATTGTTTTAGACACCTGTTCAAATAAAGGAGTTTGGTGCAGTGAATAAAATTGACTTCTCCCCAGTTCCTCCATATAACTACGCTGTCACAGCCTCCTCCAGGGTAAGTGGCTGTTCTGCAGCTTTTATGTTCTTGCCCTTCAGTTGGTGTCACCTGACTGAACTTAACGTCTTCTTGTTTTGCTAGATCCACATTTATGGTCGTTACTCTCAGGAACCAATCAAAACATTTTCCCGCTTCAAAGATGCTGCTTACTGTGCCACGTACAGAGAGGATGGCAACCTGCTTGTCGCTGGCAGCGAGGAAGGTAGCATCCGCCTCTTCGACCTTGGCGGAAGAGCACCGCTGAGGCAGTTTGACGGCCACACTAAGTAAGACAGTGTTGGTTTTTTTCTGTGTGTGCCTAAGCTTTTTTGCTCTATTTACATATGTCTGCTTTACATGTTGCTGAAAATCTGAATAACACCGATCTAAGTTGCTTGCAACTGTCTCATAGATCTTACTAAAAAGTAGATTTAAAAAAATTAATTGAGAATTGGAGCGACTTTTTAAACAATTCTAAATATGAATTGAGTACGTGGTAGAATAAATATGTTTTCTAATTCGTTAGATGTCTGTTAAGATGTTGTGTAGACATAGTCTTGTCACTGCTTGGTACTTATAAGCATGTTTTATTTTATGCTGGTAGGAAGAGAGTTCTAAAAAGTAGCTAAACAAAAACAGTGAATAAATATACCCAGAAGAACAAAAAAACAGTAAAAAGTGCTTGATGGCAGGGTGAGGTTGGATGGGGAAGGAGTTAGGAGTTCTGATGTACCAGTAAGGAGAAGGCAATTTTAATGCTTAAACAGGTGGCTGTGCTGTGGAATACCAATACATGTTTTGCCTGTCTAGAACAACAACAACAATGAACGCCCTCTCCCAGGAGAGCACACAAGCACATCTTGAGAGTGTTTCTAATTGAGGTCTGCTGTTGTAGATTGGGTATTACCTTATGTCCTAGCCACTGGGTTAACTGTAATAAGATTTAGGGTATCTGTGTTTTCTGTCAAAGTCATTCTCTGGTGGGATGTTATGATGATAATACAGATTTAAATAGTGATTTTAGAGGACAAGGAGAGTGTCCAACCCAATCATACTTAAAACTCACTTTTATAATTTTTTTTCTAAAGGGCAGTGCTAGTACACTAAATAACTAAATAGACCACTAAATAACACATGCAGAACTTAGAGCTTTTGAATGAGCATCTAGTAGACCTGTAAAACTTTTAAGGCACACCATGTCAGTGCTTAGGTAACCATCTGTCAGCGTGAGCCTTTTCTGGCTGGAAATGTGAAAACTAAAGTGTTTTTAACCTCTAATTTGAGGCTTTGTAACTTCCAACAGTAAATACTCGTCACTTTTAAATTAGAGGGAATACTTCAGTGAGCTCTTCATACAGTCTAGCGATTCTAGAAGCAAGTATATATTTTAACTTTGGATATTGTGGACTTTGCTTTCTAGGGCTGTTCATGTAGTGGGCTTCCTGTCTGATAAATACCGACTATTTTCTGGTGGTGACGATTATTCCTCAAATCTGTGGGATATACCAAGTGCTACAGAAATCGTCTCATACAGTGAACATAATGACTATGTGAGATGCGGCTGTGCAAGTAAAGTGAATGCAGATGTCTTTATAACAGGTTTGATTTTCTTTTTTTTTGTATGTGTTTCTTTTGGATTGAAGAAAAATGCAGAAAGGTAGTTTTTGATACAGTAGGATTTTGTTTATTGTATTTTAAACATACAGGATTTGTCTTCCTGCTCAGTGCCTATTTTTTGCTTGCTTTTTAAGCTTGACACTGCTGTGTGTGGGGAAACTCCTGGTGAACTCATTTTTAATGTCGTTTTGCTTTAGCCTGTTAAGGTTAATGGGACTGTTCTGACTGGCCTTTGAAAGTTTTAAGAAAATCCTGTGAATGTATCTTTTAGTTGGGACTGACTGAAGTGTTTTATTAAGTTTGCAGAGGAGAACACTAGTTCTGTTGTGGTTTATTGAGCCCCAAACTGTCAAGACACAAAAATGGAAGGTTGTGTGAGGAGTTACTTGAAACCAATTGCTTTTGGTTTTCCTATAAGTAGCTTTCTAGTCATTTGCGTGGTAAATTGTTATGAAAAGGACTACTATTCCTTACTTCAGGAGGCAAAAGAGACTAGGTTTCATCAGGTTGCCTGATATTTATTGTTATAAATACACTTGATTAATGGAAGGGAAATGAAATTAAGACCTAAATTACTTTTAAGACCTGACACGTTTCTAGGGCTAGAAGTAGAAGACTTACGTTGCCTGAAGGCAGTAAATTACCAAGTTAAACCACAAGGTTTTCTAAGTGTATGCTTTTTAAACTGTTTCTGTTTGGCAGGAGCTCCTTTGGGTTGTAGGATGTAGCTGGTTTAGTTCCTGAAATAATTGAAATGATGAAACTGAAGTTATACACGGTGTTGTTTGCAGGTTCCTATGATCATACTGTGAAACTATTTGATGCACGAACAAAAAGCAGTGTCATGACAATAGAACATGGCCAGCCTGTGGAGAGTGTGCTTCTCTTCCCTTCTGGTGGGCTTCTAGTATCTGCAGGTACTTCAATAAAATACAATTTATTTTCTGTGACCCCGATTTGAGAAATATTTCAGCTGCTTCTTTTTTGTGTGGTGTTTTAATTAGGTAATGAAGTGGTAAGTGATGTAATAGCGTGATTTCTCAAAGTTCTTCTTTAGGAATCTGTGTTGATCCAGAGGGTGAAGGTAGGGTTTTTTTTGTCTCTGGTTTTATTTTCTTGTAGTTGGTCCAAAAAAAAACCAACCCAAACCACCCTGACATTTTTAATTACAAGATACAGACTTTAATTAGCCCAGTGCTAAAGTAAAGGAATTAACATACTTAACACGTTTTGAAAAGATGGGACTGTGTCTGTCTCCTAATGACAACAATGTTTTTATAGTCTCTTCTTGCCACTGCATCCGAAGTCCTGTAACCCAGTGGGATGTAGGTTATTTTTGTTAAGGAGTGTGTTGAATCATTCAGCTGTGCCTGCAGAGTGGCCTAAGAAAGAGCAGGCTTGTAGTGTGTCTTGTCCCAGGTGATAGTTGTAATGGATGAGGATGGTGAGTACCTACAGAAAGCTCTGTGTTATGAAGGAGGCAGCTGTATCGCTCTGTGAAAACTTCTCCAGAGAGGTATAAATGTGTACTTATGTCAAACCGCTTTGTGTACTTCCTTCCCACAGGAGGCCGATATGTCAAGGTTTGGGATATACTAAAAGGCGGACAGTTACTAGTTTCACTTAAAAATCACCATAAAACTGTAACTTGTTTGTGCCTGAACAGCTCTGGACAAAGGTTGTTGTCAGGATCTCTGGACAGGTTAGTATATTTTATGGCTTTGTTGTGATTTAAATTCTTTAGAACTTCTTTCCTTTGAAAACTATTTTACATCAGTGTGAATTTTTGCATGTTTTTTTGGGTTTAAACACTTAACTGCTAGAGATATAACTTATTTGAAAACATGTCTTGGGGCCAAGGTACATTTTGCAATATACATTAACCTTTTCCTCTTATTAGCCTGAATGTCAGTAAGGATTGCATGTGCGATTTGGGAAGGCGTGTGGGGAACTTCTGAATAAGCATTCGCTTTTCTGAGTCTCTAAACTGACCTTTGCAGTCTCCATGAAGTAACCGTTCTTTCCTTTAATACAGTTTAAGTAACTGCAAGTGTATTAGTATTCACCTTTATTAAAGAGCCTGGTTTTTGTGTCTCTCTGCTGTTACTTTTTGTACCAAAGGTGCACAGGTGAAATGTCCTCCTTGCTTTTTTTGTTTGTTTGGGTTGAGTTGCTGAGTACTGGTACTCAATGCATTGTCTCTGAGACACTAGAAATATGAAGTGGTCTGAAGTGACAGCGGTCTGTTCGCTTCCTCCCTCCCTCCCTCCTGTACTTAACTAGGCTTCCTCAGGCTTTATGATTGCAAAGCATAAGCTGAAGGATCACACACTAGCTCTGCAGCTATTTGTCATTCAGTGCTTACAACATTACAGTTCATAATTCTTGTAAGATAATGCTTTTTTTTCCCATTTGTTAAAATATTTCCTACTTTCAATCAAATCATTAAAGAGCAGCCAGACACAAGAATATCTATGGCTTTACTTCCAGAAATTGTTAGTAGAACTTACATTTAAAATTTAAGAACAAAATTGATAAAATACTGTCTTAATGTTTCCTTGTTAATAAGCATTGCTGAAGTCAGATAGTCACTACATCTGCCTTCAGTTTCTTCTTCCATCCTTGCCCCATTTTGATCTTTTTTGTGTAAGGGTAATCCTTTCTTGGTTTTTGTGTATCTTTTAACAGAACCTTTCTGTTGCATGAGAGGTGGTAACTAAGAAGCTCAGTGGTAGTCTGAAGAATGCTGTGTACAAATACTTAGTTTCCTTAAATGATCTATAGTTGAGAGTGATTAACTTTTTGCAAATAAGGCATTAGAAATTAAGTTTTAATTGTTACTATTCTGTATAGGCACGTGAAGATTTACAGTACTACTTCCTACAAAGTAGTCCACAGCTTTAACTATGCAACATCCATCCTCAGTCTTGCATTGTCGGTAAGTACATTAGAATCTTTCTAAGCAAGATAATTACTGATACCTTTTAAGACACTGAAGTAATTCATTTTTGCTTTCATTATTATTGGGTGTTTCAGAAGAATGCTGTACATGCAAAGTAGGTGATGGAATATATTCCTTCTAGGTAAAAAATGTATTAAGAAGTTTTAAACATAATATCTTCAGATATCGGTTGTTGCCTGATTAGATCTGTACAAGCCTGTGTGTTTATCAAGGTCGCTATATATCATAGGAAAAGTTTAGAAGGGAAGTCCTTTGACTTTAAGAATATTGTACTGATCTTCTGCCTTTCAGGAACCTTGTTAGTCTGCTTGTGTAGCAGTGATAAAAGAAAAAAAAAAAAGTAATTCATTTGTTAAGGAATGTAGAATAGGGTGAACTTGTCTTAGAAATTGTGCGTGTCAGTTTGGTCCGAGGAAGAAAAGAGGAGAGGGCATGAGGTATGAACATAAAGAAACTTGTTTGCCAAGGCATGTGTCTTACTGTCTTGGAAACAGAAAACAAAGACTCTTTATTTCTGTGAAGCATTTGAGTTCCAAAGGGTAAGTGACCTGCTGACCAGAAATTTGGAGGTTAGCACTACTTTTTAAAACAATGCTGTTGTTATGTAGTCAGCCTCTTCTGAAGCCTCTGAAGGACATGTAAAAGGGACTGCGAGGGATCTTCACTGCCTTTGCTACTTTACTATTGTCCTGCTCTTCTGGAACCTAGGGGAAGGTGTGTGTGGAGGGGGTGTCTTCCTTTCTTAGTTTCCTGTGTTGTTCTGTAGGGAGCTAGAGCTAAAGTAATTTTGGGTTATTTCGGTTGAGGTGAAGAGTGAGTACAGAACCAAAAAAACCCTATACCCTCTAAGCTTCTACAGCAGCTGCAAAACATGCAATACCTGTAGTTTCACATCTCTAGAGCTGTGTATGTGTATTTCGAAACATAATCTTTAGGTTCGTGTTGACTAAAACACTTCTAAGTGGTCATCTGAGAACTGGCTCTACTGGGTCAAACCAAAGGCTAGTCTAATTCTAGATGCTGCTTTCAACTATAGCCATAAATAGGTGCATATGGAAAACTAAACACAGGGCAAGTGTATGTGGTAAGTTTCCTGATACTGTCCAAAACTCCAAACTCATTTTCAGATGAGAAATGAGCTCATCAGAGTATAGTTTCTGTGTAATTCAAATAGTTACTTTTACATAAACCTGCTCAGTCTCTCCTTGAGGTTGGACAAACTTTTAACCTTCACTGTGATCCTTGACAAGGAGTTCCAAACTTCTGGTGCTTTTTGTGTAAAGAATTGCCTCTTTTTGTTTCATTTTGAACCTACATAAGCTTCATATGATGCCCCTAAACAAGATGTTGACCAGCTGATCTCCATTCATAGCTGTCATAACTCTGGAGGCTTTTATCATGTCCCTTCTCAGTTGTCTTTTTTTCCCATGCTGAAAAGTTCTGTCTCAAATCAAGCCAATCTTTTATTCTCCTCAGGTTTTTAAAATTCTTTTATTCTCAGTCTGGTACTGAGAATGACTCCCATAGGATTTAAGATGTGGGTAAACGACGGATGTATTCAGTGGCACAATCACTTTCTAGTTTTTATTTTTTCTGTAGTAATTCCTATCACTTTTTATTTGTGTTTTTTTTTTTCTTACCAGCAGTTGAGCATTCAGCTAATGTTTCATGTTTTCATAGAATTGTCTGTTAAGAGTAACAGAACAAACTCACTATTTTATATGTGAAGTCAGTGTTTTTCTCCAGTGCATCAACTAAAATTACAAACTTTAGCATCAAATACATGCAACCTTTGTTATGTAGGTGAAATTTATACCAGTGATTAGTATTTTGAAGAACTCTCACTTGTTTCTCAAAATCCTGCTTTGCCATGATGGCTTTCTCACAGGTGGTGTGTATGTATGCTGTATGGCGTGTAATAGCCAAAGGCAGCTGTACGCTACTGAAAGCTTAAGTTATTCTCTGATACTGTGATTAGAGCCTTATCATGAAGCATAAAAATTTAAAAATCCACACGGAAGAGCATGCGTCATCAAATTAAAACACTCAGTTCCTAACTCCGTGATTTCTTCATTTTAGCCTGAAGATGCAACCATAGTCGTAGGCATGACCAATGGGGTGCTAAATGTTAAACACAGAAAACCTGAAGAAAGGAAAGAAAAGTCTCAAAAGAGACAACCAGCATATAGAACCTATGTGAAAGGAAGAACTTACATGCCAAAACAGGTATAAGGGGGTGAGAAAATGTATGCTGAAGCACTTCTAAATTTATTTATTTATCTATCTATTTATTTATTTATTTATTTGGTGTGTGCTATATTGAAGAGTGGGAAGGAGGGGAAGATACAAACACATACAGGCTTGTTCATGGTAATATATCTAGTCCATTATGTGTGTGTCTGTCTTATTCTCACCTTGTTTTAAAATTCTAGGAAGATTTCTGTGTCAGTAAACCTGTAAAACGTGTTTTGAGAAAATATGACAAGCTGCTGAAAAGCTTTCAGTCTTCCAAGGCCCTTGATGCAGTACTGGAGGTAAGGTGTTGGATTTTGTCTCAGCAGAGTTATGTGATCTGACATGGATTTTTTTCTATATGTCAGACTAATTTTATTTCAGTGTATAACTAGAAAGAAATCAAACTTGAGTGGATTCTGCTTTGGTTTTGCTGGTATCAGCCCTGTTTCATGTGTAAAGATGTTGCTTTGGTACTAAACTCTTCTTATGTATGTGCCCAGCCACCCATCAGGCTTTATACTCCTGAAGTGACGGTTGCGGTCATGCAGGAACTACATCGCAGAGGAACACTGAGGAGTGCGCTTGCAGGCCGAGATGAGAAGCAGATTAATCTCCTTCTTACCTTTGTTGCAAGGTATTATTTTAAGCTGAGTTCTCTTTGACTATTTTGAGACCTGTATTTCTTAATAGCTTTTGCCACGGAGTCTCAACAGATTATGGATGGAACTCTCTTGAAATCTCACATGCCTTCTGCTTTTTGATATCAAGGTCTGGGATTTCACTCATAGTACTAAACAATTTTACCTCTTAGCACATAAATAATAGTAGGAGATAGCAGGAGACAATAGTTGCTGATAGTAGGAGACGATATATTTTACTTTGCCAGACATCCTACCCTTAGTCTATTATTTTCTGTCTCCTTTATGAAATTGGCGTCTTCATGTCCCTGAGGGTTTTGCTAGTCCTCTACCTTCCTGAAAGGAGGAGAGTAAATACCACAGGTAGCTTTTTTTCACTCACATCTCTGACTGCTGTTCTGTGACATCTCTTCATGAGCTAAAAATTGTGTGTATACCTGTATGAGAAAGCTGTTTGTTGGTGGGTGGAGTGCAGTTGGCAAAACTAGTAAAATTGGGATATCTTCTAATTTTGCAGGCGTGTGATTGAGCCTAGATTTACTTCTGTACTGGTGACTGTTGCAGATATGATCACTGGTAAGTACAACACAAAAAAATTCTCAAAGCCATATAGCTAGCTTGGAAATAAGGCAAGAAGTGCTACATTTTTAAGAAACTAAACCTTTACGGATTTGTTTATAAGTATGAACTCTGTATCAAGAGAATGATCCAAAAAGAGATATTGCTAGATAACTTTGGCCACAGTCAGTATCTGATTTTCACTGACTTCAGGAAGCTCCGCATGGTCTTGTAAGTATATTTGGTACTTCGTGATTCTGTACTTGCATAGTACAACTGACTTCCACTTCTCTGATGAAGTAAAAACTGTGTTTTAAGTCCTGTTTCTGTTAATTTGACTTACTGTGAGAACATACTGATAATTACCACTGTTTTTGGAATGCAGTTAAAGTTGTCTTACTTGTCCACAATGTTGGACTTGTGCTAGACACCTTAAATGCATCTCTAACTAGGTAATATAACTTTCATGTTTTTATGGGTGTGTGGATTCTTAAGCGGCTTTTTTCTTTACAGATATTTATCAGCCTGTGGTTGGGCAGTCGGCAATTGTTGACAGACAATTCCTGAAACTTCAGGAAGCCATAGGAAAAGAGATTGACTACCAAGAGGAACTGCTAGAAGTTTTGGGAATGATGGATACACTGTTTGCTACTTTTACCAAGAAAAGAGATACTTATCTAGAAGAGAACAAAAGTAACGGCCTTACAGAGACCATTGAAACAAATACGAATAACTGACTGACAACCATCACAACAAATTGTCACAAAAATAATGTGTACTTGAAATACATTACCTGTTCTCCTGGTAACTTTTTATAATTGTGGCTTTCAAAATAAGCCCCTCTATGTTGAAGTTCTGTCTTCCTAACTGTGTTTATAGGCTGAAATACTGAAGACAGAGAAAGAAGGACGTTTTCAAGATTTTCCATGCACTATTTTTCAAACAATTGAATTTTAAAGTTTTATTCCAAAGTTACGTAACTTTTAAAGAGTGTTGTGTGCATCCAGTACTAAGTCATTATTTGATTTAGAGAACCAGTCAACAATTTTCAGTTTTTATTTGCCAGAAAATAATTGAGGTTTGTCTAATTTTAATGTATCATTGTCCTTACTTAAGGTTAATATCCCATCTCACATATTTGGCATAGGAATAAAACCACGTATGCGTTTGAGAAAACTTGACTAGATTGTGTTTCCTCTCCCTGCTTCATCTCTATTTCAAACTCCTGTGAATTCATAGGAAACAGTAAAATGACTCAAGAAAACAAGTGCATGTTATTTTAAATAACCTGAACAATTCTGCAAGTTCTCCCTAAAATCTTAACAATTTTTGATGGAAAAGTGTGGAGCAGTATCTGGTCTAGCCTTAAATTAATATGTGAGCAATATATGTTCCTGGCCATGGTGATTTGCTGGTTTTCAAGACTTAAGATGATAATAGCTCTAATAAGGAGCGTGTTCATGCAAACTTTAAACTTTTAGTTTCCTTGCTACCAACTTTACTATTTTTGTTTCGTTTCTGCTAATAGACCTGAACTTTCTTTTGTCTTTTAGGAAATCTGTATGCTACTTTTAATTGTGTGACTTAATCAGGCAATATCTCTTATGACTTCACACAAAATGAGTTTTTGGGGATGAAGGGCTCTTCCTGAAGCCTCGTTATTCCATGACCCTTCAGTAGTGCTTGGAGTTGAAGGTGGACATTTCTCTTTGCAGTGTAGTGTTCTACAGCTTGAGAACCACTGACCTTGACATCAAACATATCCTAAGTTCTTACTGAGAATATTCATGTCCAAAGTATATATCCATTGTAGTGCCTCGAAGTTTGATGTGTGGCTAGCAGGACCATAGGAGGTTTTAATTAAAATAGCAGATTAGTTTGATATAAATTGGAGAGAGATGGATTTGATGGATGGGCTGTTTGGTGGATGAGGAATTAATTGGATGGTTGCATCCAGAGGTTAGTGGTCAATGGCTTAATGCCCAGACGGAGATCGGTGACAAATGGTGTCCCTTAGGGGTCTGTACTGGGACCAGTACTGTGTAGTACCATCATCAGCATCATAGACAGTGGGATTGTGTGCAGCCTCAGCAAGTTTGCAGATGACACCAAGCTGAGTGGTGTGGGTTGACGCACCTGAAGGGTAGAATGCCATCCAGAGGGACCTGGACAAGCTCTAGAAGTGGGCCTGTGTGAACCTCATGAGGATCAACAACGCTGAGTGCAAGGTTCTGGATCACAGCTGGGGCAACCACCAGTATCAATACAGGATGAAGGGATTCAGAGCAGCCCGGCAGAGAAGGACTTGGGGGTACTAGTGGATGAAAAGCTGGACATGAGCCAGCAATGTGTGCTCACAGCCCAGAAAGTCAATCGTATCCTTGGCTGCATCAAGAGAAGCGTGGCCAGCAGGTTGAGGAAGGTGATTCAGCACCTCTGCTCCGCTCTGGTGAGATTCCACCTGGCCTACTGTGGCCAGTTCTGGAGTCCTCAGTGCAAGAAAGACATGGACTTGTTGGAGTTGGTCTAGAAGAGGATCACAAAAATAATAAGAGGGAGGGGACACCTCTCCTATGAGGGAGGAAGGGCTGAGAGAACTGAGGTGTTCAGCCTGGAGAAAAGAAGGCTCCCAGGAGACCTTATTGCAGCCTTTCAATACTTAAAGGGGGCCTGTAAAAGGGATGGGGACAGACTTTTTAGGAGGTCCTGTAACGACAGGACAAGGGATAATGGTTTTAAACTGAAAGAGGGTAGATTTATTCTAGATATGAGGAAGAAATTTTTTACACTAAGGATGGTGAAACATGGGAACAGGTTGCCCAGAGAGGTGGTAGATGCCCCCTCCCTGGAAACATTCAAGGTTAGGTTCGATGGGGCTCTGCACAACCTGATCTGGTGGAAGATGTCCCTGCTCATTGTGAGGGAGCTGGACTAGATAACTTTTTAAAGGTCCCTTCCAACCCAAACCATTCTATGATTATGGTAATTTGATTTATTACAATGTTTACCGTTCATTTTATTCTATCAAATGAGTTTGCCAGGGTAGAGGTGGAAGCAGGTCTGAGGTATCATCTACACAAATGGATATCTGATCAAAACATGGAAAAACAAATGCTATTTAAGATGTTAATTTCTAACAGGACTACTAAAATAATATGTTGAAGAATTTTATCTGACTGGCCAACTTATTTTCTGCTACTTGAGTTGTATTATGAGTTCTACTGGATTCACTACCTCTGTGATGAAGGCTGGCATTTGTTCAGGTGACACCTAGTCTGCTTGCCAAATATGTGTGTTCCTTGTGTCTCTGCTCTTGTCTGTTATGAAAATTAATGGGTTTTTTTCCATTTAGTAAGATTTTTTTTGTTTTCATTCTGAAAGGTTTTCTTTAGTACCTGCATAATTAAGTTACAGAGCAGGCAGACTAAGATGCTGTTATTACCACTGTGGTGCCTATTGTTCATGTTCTTATTTTATTGAATTATAATATTCATATAAAACTTCAAATTTTGGCTTTTTAATAGGCTGCTGGTTGAATAAAATAGAAGGGAAAAAAGTTTTTCCAGTAACAGTTTGCAGTGGTTTCTCTGTGGTGTTTAAAATGTGTTAACTGCAGTGCCAGGCATGCATATTTTTATTTTACAGGTGAAAAATGTATTTGTTTATAGGAAAATGTAATTATTTTTCCAGTAGTGCATTACCTTATGCCCCAGAACCTAATATTTTGAAGTATTAAGATGGAATTAAGATGAACTGAAATAGTTAAAATAGTTAATTGTGCATTGGATTGGAGGGAATGTAATGCTGAGTGTCCTGTTTGGGGAAAGGTTATTCTTTATATATTCTGCCTGTATAGAAAATGGGGGATTTATTGCACACAGCATGTTCCTTGGCTTTTAGGTCATTTGGGAATTACCAGACTGAGTTGTCTTTGACATACAGGTCCAGAAAAGGGCAATGAAGCTGGTGAAGG